AAGCAGCAGCCACGCTCTCCAGCCTGGAGCACCCTTTAGGTTTGGTGTTTTACGGATTGCAGGGAGGGACCCGGACTTGGGGTGTGCGTTAACTGTGTCATTCATGGGGGGCACCTTGGCAGCGAGGGCAAACTGAGCAGGATCACCTGTCAATCAATACCGCTTCTCACCTTAACGAACCTTTCCAAATCTTAACGATTTCATTAACCCCCCCCTTTTCCCCGGGGCAGAAAATAAGCAGAATCAACTACAGGCTCTGGAGCGGTTTTACCTCTCAGTCCCTTAAGGATTGGAAGGTTCTGCTGCTTCCCTCCTGAGGGGTAGCACCACGCTCTGCAAACTGTGCCAGTGAGATGCACAGCCCGTTTGCAATGTAAAGTCCGACTTGCCCTGAATCACGGCCAGAAGAATCCGGTCCCTTTTAAAGTGAAAGGCAGAGCACGCTTTTCTGATTTCAACGCAGGCTGTTCTAACTCACCCACATCATCTATGTCAAGGAAACAGCCTTTTCTGTGTTAAAAAAGCTGAGTTCCTGATTCATGTTCTCTACTTTAATAAATAAAGCACCAAAAATACCCAACCCTTCCCCCTTCTGTTTTAGGTATCTGATATTCTACTTGCTCTGGCAATAGCAAAGGACTATCTTCCTGCTTTTTGCTGTTGGTGTAGACATCTCCAGTCCTAGAAGGCTGTTAGCTCAGGGAGGCAGGATTCATAATCCACAGATCAAACAATCCATTACCGGCAATTCTGCGTAAAATAGCTGTTCCTCGCACTGCAGAGGCTTGAGTGCTGCAATACAGGCATCTCGGCTGGCAGAAAAAGGGGGGCTCCCAGCACACGTCCCGGCTCGGTCGCAATGTTTCCATCCCTCCAGCACCTCTCATCCCGAGGACCGCACAAATCACATACGTACAGGAACGGAGCAGGTCCCTCTGGGAGACGGTCGGTGGTGCAAGCCGCCGGCGCCGGCACAGCGCGAGGTGTCACCACATGGGCAAGGCTGGCGATGGAGGAAGGTTGCCCTGACAACTGCTGACAGCCCGCCTTCCCCGAGCAGCGCGCACCGGCTTGCTTTGAAATCCCTTCCCACTGCAGCCGGGAGCACACGCCGGGGCTGGGGCTGGGTATTATTCCCCCCCCCTGCCCCCTACCCCTTTCCTTTTCCCCGCTGAATCCTTCTCTGCCCACGCAGAGCGAAAGCAAGGTGGGGAAAGGAAGGGGAGGAAGCCAGAAAGGTCCTCCAGACCCCGTGGGGCTCATTAGTGCCCCTCGCCTCGCCAGGGGTCCCGCCGGAGCGGAGCATCCCGCAGCCAGCCCGCGGGGGCGTCTGCCCCCGGGGTGGCGGAGGGCTACGGCCCGAGACGGGGGATTTGGGGTGAGAGGGCGGGTAGGGTGAGCTGGATGCAGGGGGGCCGGGAACCAGTTAGGCACTGAAATCTCCTCGAAGGTAGGCTTAAGTGGAAGTTTAGACTGAATTTCAGGGTTGCCTTGCGCAAGGAGTGAAGAAGGTCAGCGGTGCAGGGACAGCGGCAGCGTTAGGCGGTTACGTCTGACGAAGGCAAAACCAGCCTCCGGCCCCGGCCGGCCTGCACGCCCGCCTGCTGCACGTAAGGCCGAGACTGAGTACGACCTGCAAGGCTCTTCCTTTGCGGCTTGCCAGCCCGAAGGGCAATGAAGCAGCTGACATCAGCGGTGCACAGATGGCATCGCTGTTTCCAGTGGCGCTTCTCTTGCAGGAAGTGATTTCACTGCCATCCCTCTGCCTGTTCTTCTCTGTTATTGTTACGTTCGTCTCGGAGGTATTTCTCCGGTATCTCATCTGTTGGGTGCTACGAGTAAAGATCATCCTCACCTCTGGAAAGGATGTGATTCAACACTTCTAAGAGAAGTTTTCCCATCGGGACCTGGCAATAAATCAATACTGTTTGAGGAAAGGGATTGGTTTCTGCTGCTATTACCAAAAAGGATTATACAGCCAGGATGGGGGTCAATTACAGATTAGAGAAAGAGACAGCTGCCGACACCAGCGCTGAGCCCGTTGGCACATGTTCAAGGTCTTGTAGTGCCTGTCTCAAGGCAGAGGTCATCCTGCCTGTCCTGCAAAATAGGAGCTCCTGTTCCAGAGTATTTGTCACACCAATGGTTTCCCCCAGATTGGACTTTGAACTCAAGTCTCCCAAGTTTCAAGGGAAATGGAAAGACTGCTTATTTTGGACTGGAAGCTCTGCTTCTTTTGAAACAAGTGGTTTTTTGCAAGTGATTGATGACATCTTTGTGCAGAACAACAACAGCAGCCACGCCTCAGTTTGGTGACAACCCAAATTTTGGGGCAGGGAGTAGCTCACATGATTTTCTGTGGGCACTATTACCCGATAGCACTATTTTCAGCACCTGGTCTTGTTTGATGACCACTTTTTGATTCGTCTTAACAAACTGCAGTCCTAGTCCTACACCTGATCACTCCTTTCTGGTCTGGGCTATCGAATTATGGAGCAAAGGATGTTTGCTCTGTTGTCATTGTCTTACATTCATGGGTTACCACATTCGGCAACCACTTCCAGTCTCTTCCAGGAGACCTGGCTCTCCGCAAATGGTAGCCGTTCCCCAGACCTAAGAGATCTTAGCATCACCTTGCTCGCTTCTGTTGGCTTTGATGGTTCTCCTTTGTGGTTGCTCCTTCGAAAAACTTGTCAATCTTCTCATTAAGACTTTCCCAAAGCAGCCTGCCTTCCTGCTTCTGGGAATGTGTCATTCTCTCAGACAGCAGAAATGGCACAAACTGGCTAAACCAAGGGATCACGTGGAGCAGGGTGCAACTGAAACTAATAGTTTATGAACAGCTTTTGAGCTGACATTGGCTTATGTGAGTTTGTGGACAACTGCCTGGGAGTCGTGAAGATTTTGAGAAGTCAGGATGGATCTAAACGCTGTCCATAAGCTGAAAATGAGCTGACTGAATGAGCTCATTTGTGCACAGAAGGATTCTGATTACAGAGATAGAAATATAGGTAAATGTATATATTACATTACTGAGAACAAGCTCAACCAGCATGGGAAAGCAGGTGCATGGTTTTTCTTGGAGCTTAAGTATATGACCATAGTTAATTGTACAGCTGACAAAGATGGTTTGGCTAGGACCTCACGGCTTAAATATCGTGAACATGGAAAAGCACAGAAACTACTCGTCTCGACTGCTTCCCGCCGGCCTCACTTCACCACCGCTGGGCTGGGTTACAGGAGCTGAGGGAAGCCGGACGCCGAGAGCGGGGCACGCAGCGTCTCCGCACAGGGGCCCTCCAGTATGCGGCGTGTTTTAATGCGGGGAAAATGACGCTTCAGTCTACTCCGATGACACAAAAGTTCCGAAAATGAGCTGGCGCCAAGTTAAGCGTGGAGGCTGAAGGAGGGGCGGAGGGCGGGGGCACAGTGTTCGCAAAGGTTCCTGTTGCAGCCAGAGACCGGAAAGTGTGTAATAAAACAATGTTAACAGCCTGCAGATTACATTGAACTGCTCCACCTCCCAGGAGCTAACAGGAAACTTTTAAATACTCTTTACTGTATGGGAGGAAACTCCTGAGCAGTTACCATGATTTTTGTCCATATTGTATCGCTGGTGCTAGTCCTTATGTGGAAAAGATTGGGGTGGGAGGGGATGAATAGGAACTGCTCTTGCTGCAGAGGAACATTTTGTTGTAGCTATTGTGATATGAGCCATTAGGAGCGCAGGCAGCTTGCAGAAGGCTGAAAAGTTCCAGGTACTGTTCCTTTTCCAGATACAGAGGTGGGCAAGCGTCCCCAAAATCTTGTCCATATCTTCCAGGTTGAGGAACTGACCTAGTAAAAGAGAGAAGCTCTCCCTGTAAAGCTTCCTATAAACAGTAACAGGCTATTAAAGGCTTTCCTCTATGTCTGGAGGTATGCTGTGATAACTCTGTGCCGTGCTGGACACACAGAGTTCAGGAGAGGCAGAGCTGGAACTGACCTGAAACCCAAGTTCTCTGGCTCCTCTACAGTCCTCTAGCTGCTCTTGGGGCAAAAACGTGGAGAATGCAAATGCTTTCCCTGAGCAACTAGCTGGGGCAATTCCAGGTGTGTCCTCAACACAGAGCTGTTGATTATCACCCTTTATTATCCTCAAAGGATACTGGATACATCAATGCAGTATACACAGCTTATTCTAAACTTGCCTGCGGAATGATCTCATGTTTCATCTGTGTTAAGCTCTCCAGGAGGTATTGTTTGATACCCTTCCCCTCAAAAAGCAGTTTTTTACAGTATAATTAGCCTTGGTACAAGGGCCATGGGAATCAGGGAATGAGTGGGAATGCATAATTAACTAAGAAGGCCACCTCATCATCAGTGAGGTTGCGTGGGCCCTTAACTGGTGCCGTTTGCCTACAAAAGTGCTGATGGCTGCCAAAGCCTGCGCAGTGCTAGACGTTGGAGAAGCAGAGCCATATGCCCTAAAAACAGATTTCATAGGATTATGTCTCCTGCTTTCTTTCCCTGAGGAGTAAATCCATCTCGTAGCAACCAGGGGATCGCAGAGAAGTCCCACAAGGGGAAGGGAGAGGGAGAAATCCTCCTTCAAGGCCGTGAAGAACAAGGTGTCCCGGGCAACTAAAAGATTGGGATTTTGGAGCTGTCTGTCCTGTTTCTTCCCTAAAGCTTGCTAGGAGAGGTCACCAAGAATGGGACCTTATGGGCCACACTCTGAGATGTGGGTTCAGACTGCTCACAGAGTGGGCTTTGTGCTATTGCAAACTGTCAGCTCAGAGATGGGTGCACAGGGTGCTTTCAGAGCCAGCTGTCTGGCATCGTCCCCTTCTCCTCCTAAATCCTGCCAATGTGAGACCTGGCTTCCTTAGTGGCCCGCAGAGGTGGGGACCGGGGTCTTTCCCTTACACAGTGAAGAAAGCATGCTTGTCTTTGGCTGCCTCCCTCTCAGCACGTGTCCTAATCTCTGCATAAAAGGTTGTGTTTGCTCAGTTGAGATTTAGGGAGGCCGTTCGCTGCACAGTATTTGTTTATCCGCCAAGAAATCAACGGCTGACACTTTGCATATTTTGACTATTTTGACAGCTGGCTAAGAAAAATATGGCTTCATCCCCAGCCTCACCTCCACAATCGCACTGGCATTTTATCATCAAACACAAAGTTTTTTTGTTTCATGAATCTTGCATTTTGAATTCAGTGACTGCCTAGTTCCTAACTCAGCTATTCTCTTCATGAACCCATTAGCATAACTTCAGACTAGGTAAAATATTCGAGCTGGAGACTACCTGCTTTGGTTTCCTTAAACCTTCAGCAAGGTACACAGGTAACACCACACAGAGCACAGGCAAACTAATCTAGATGGGTGGAAATCCTGGTCTCCATGGAGTAAACCTCACCAGATGCGTCTAGATCGTTGGTGTTGATAGCACATTGGTAAAAATCAAGCTCAAATACAATTTAGCTGTCTTTATCATTCACTCTTTTCTTTTATTATCAAGTTGGCATCATGGAAGGAGAAAGTCTGCCTTGCAAAGAGCTTACAGCCTCAACAGACGGGACAAAAAAGAATGACCAAAAAAAAAATCACTCTTTTTTTTTTTTCTGCAGGCAGGGATCTATGGAAAAGGATGTAGGATAAGTGATGGTGTTGCTTGCTCCAGGTCATGGAGGAAGTCTGCGGCAGAACCACAAACTGAACTCCATCTTCTCAAGTCCTGGAGATTGGTCTTACTAAGCCAAAGCGCTCATACTGACTTGAAATAGCCAAGCTATAATGGCCTTAAATGCTATATTCGTGTTAACTGGCCTCAGTGGAAGCAGAGTTAGACCAACATTCAGCCTCCCTCCTTTCTTCCAAAACTCATAGATCTGAGAGATTTGAGATGAGAGACTCTTCACTGTGTTGTTTTAACTGGATCTCCTAACAAGAAAAATCAAACCTTGTTCCCTCAAGTAAAGCTCTCCAGATGGTTAATTTTAAAATA